AGTTAGAGGAACAAGATTACTGTTTTATATATTTTTTTTAAAAATCTGAATTGTAACAATGAGGCATTAAATAAAATATACTTCTGCTAAGGAACATTATTAACCTTAATCTTGGGGAGGCAAAATAATCACAGCTATGACCCTTATTGTAAAACCAGTTAAACTTCTTTCTTTGTTTCACAATATATACAATTTTTCAAAACTCTGTTTAGCTTTTAAAAATTTCTGAGAAACTACCGTCATGATAAAATATGTGTTTGGCAATTGTAAAGAAAAGGAAATCATCAGTGGTAGCAGTCTGGGAAGATCATTCAGTGCAGTTTTAGATTTATGTTCCTATCTGCTTTAAGAAAAATATACCAAATTTGGAATTTATTGTACCAAAATATAATTAAATTTAATTATATTTTAATATAATTAAATAGATAATAAGATTTTAATATCTTATTTAGATTTTAATTATATTTTTCCTCTAGGGTAATTTAGCTCTCTCCTCTTCTTAGGAAAAAATTATAAAATGGGCAAATATTATGCTCCTTCTGATATGTAATGTAACTCCAGTTGCATTAATCTACTTAGATTTTCTAATTGCATAACCTGAGTTCTTAAATGATTTATAATTTATTTCTCATGACATTAAGAAATACTATGTATATTTCTCAGTTGATCTACTGAATATAAAGGACTTTATACAATATTTGACTCACAGAGTCTTTACTATAAATCCAAGTTTGGAAGAAACAAGAATCAAAAAATGGAGTGATTGATTCCACTCCCTGATACTGCAGGTGATCACATTATAGAATTGTGTTTCACAAAATGATACATCTACATGTTTACGCCCATGAGTCATCTGAACACAATTTAAGAAACTCTGTTAAAAAATACACCTCTCTAGAAAACATGCTTATTTTCTTGTTTCTGCATGAAAAGAATGCTGAATTATTTTTATCAAGTATTTACTGTTCTAGACTACAAAAGGCACAAAACTGAGGAACCTCAAAATGACACAGAAAAATCTATCGTTTCTGTTCTGAATGTGCTTGATAGACATTTTCTTTACGTTCAAGTGTGCAAACTGCAATTACTAGAATGCTTTGCTGGGCTTGTATCAGTATTGATCTGAATTAATTATCAGTTCTGTCATGTGAGAATGCATGTAGTTGCATTAGTGTAAGTAAGTAAATTGTATCTCATATTCTACAGAGCTTCTTTTAAAAAGCCTATAACAAGAATTTGAAAGGGAAATGCTAATGTCATTTTATGTCAACAGCCAAAGCCTTTCTTCAGTTCAGTGTTTTCAGAAGAACACTGGCCTGGATATAGTGCCATGGAGACAAATAAAAGGATATAAAGTTCAGAAACAAGTGCTTCACTTGGTAGTAATTAATATCTGACTAAGGGGAAATGTCAATTCAGCTTTTGTTTCTATTAAAGCTCAGTTGTTTCCAGTTTAACTTTGGGAGGACATTAAATGTCAGTGAACAGATTGCTTCTTTTTTTTTTCTGCCATCTCTCCTCAAATCCAATTTGTTTTTATTTATAGCTCCCTGTGGAGGAAACTTGACCGGCTCATCAGGTTTTATACTGTCACCAAACTTTCCTCATCCATATCCCCACAGCAGAGACTGTGACTGGACTATCACTGTTAATAATGATTATGTTATATCGTTGGCATTTATCAGGTAAACTGCTACTTGCTCATAATTTTTAAAATCATATTTGCTACTTAACTATTGGCAGTTATTCAAAAGATCTATAGGATAACATCTGGTATACCTGCAATGGCTATCAAGGCGATGCATAATTATTATATTTGGTGGCAATCTCAGTGGGGACACTCAAGTATTCAATATGCACAGCGCTTGAGCTTGTTAATGAGATCTTCCTGGGCACACTTAGGTTGCGTGGGATGTGGTGGAAGTGGTGCATTTGTGAGGACTCTATCAATCAGAGCAGCTGGTGTGGGCTAATCCATTGTGTCCTGCCTAACCCAGGAGGGAGGCCTTGGAGGAGGATACCTATACACTGACCACATTTCATATGCCACACTCTCCCAATATTTAAACAAAAAATCTAAATAAGTGTTTAAATGTGGTTGTATTAGCCCATATAGCTTTGTGAACAACTGAAGGTGCTGCAGTCGTGGTTAAGTGAAACAGTTTCAGCATTTCCATTTATCACAGTGCAGTTTGGCTGAATGGAGCTCACAAAGGATATTCTGCTCTCTGCACTATCTGTAACCCCTTGTTGAAATTAATTGACTTATTTACTATGTGTGAAAAATAGACCTACAAATTACGACATATGATAATACCATATGCAAGATAAAAATGTTGGTTGTAGTGTCCCATTAAAATAAATAAACCAAAATTCTGGAATTAAAAAAAAAAAATCTACTAAATATAGTGAAATAATTCTTCTGAGTGGGACGCATTCCAGGTAACTGTTAAACTCAAAGACGCAAAATATTCCTTTTCAAAAATCCAGACTGTTAATCTTTGCATTTCTTCTAGAAGGAAATATTTTGGAAAAATTTGGTGGATCAGGTCTTTAATGTTGTGAAATGTTGCAGTTTGAAAGCCGTAGTGGTAGTGGTGGTGGTGGTGGGGGAAGGAGATATCAAATCAGTATCGGATTCCCGAACAGTCTGTGGACCGTAGGTCCGATCACCTTCCTAGGAGCGAATCGAGTTCCCAAATAGTGGGATCAACTATAAGCTCGACCCTGGCAATATCGGATTCACGAACAGTCTGTCAACTGTAGGTCCGATCACCTCCCCGCCCGAACAAGTAGTCGAGTTCACAAACAGTATGATTTATTCAAATGCAACATTTACAAAGCAGGTTTCAGATGTCAGTACAGGAAATTCTCTACTAGAGCATGGGGTTTTAGCTAGCTCTGATGTACAAATGTGCAATCACCACTCACCCCAGAAGATGGGAGAGGGCTCTCTCAGTCTCGAGTCTCCTCAGGCAGCGTCCCAACCCGAGGGGAGGAAAGGGGGATCAGCCTGTTGACTGACCCAGGAGTTACGATGGATTCTTCCCTCCTCCTTTTCATGCTTAGTTCACCTTTTATACTTTTCTTTACATTCAGGTAGAGCTTGAGTGACTAGAGTCATACTTAATATTGTTATTGATTGGTGAAAAAGTTTCTTGCTTTCATTTAAAGGTACAGTCAATCAAAAATCTAGAGCCCATGCTCAGGGAGGAGTGGTCGTACCTCGGAGGCGGGTAACTTTTGCGATAGAGGTGTGATTTTCACATTATAATGAGCAAAGTTGAAGCAAAGTTCATCCAAAAGGAGTGATTTGCCACCTTTCCTGGCTCAAACGGACACGTTATTGTATATCTCCCATTAGACAGCTACTCTTCGGCTTATCAGCGGCCCAGCACAGGGAGTGCAACAGAGTTTGGCCGCGATGCCTTCACTCCGCTCCATCCTCCGTTACTCCCCTTTGCAGCTGCCAGGAGGGCAGATTGTGCTGCCCAGGGAACCATGGAGGAGCAGAGTCCGTGCGCACCAGTCATCCTGGAAGTGGCAACTGTGTATCACCCCAAGGAGCTTCTGTAATGCCAAAACTTCTGCTAGGCCCTAGTTTTCCTGTCAGTTCCTGCTTTCAAACAATTCTTTCAGAAACAATTCTTCCACAAATGCCTATATTGGTTTATATCAGAAGCTAGTGACTATTAAAGATAGAATACTTCTAGTGATTATAGTTCTATTTTTGATGTCTCTTTTTTGTGCAAGGACAATAGGAAGTTTGTTTAATTCTCTGCCCTTAACTAAAATTAAGTTCAAAATCCATCTGAACATCATGACAGAAAGCAGGGGGAATGTTTAAATACTAGACCTTCTGGACTATATTGATGATGCTTAAAATGTTACCTCAGAGTTTTTGGAGGATTATCCCTTTACAGTGTGAAAATGCTCAGGCTGCCTACGGGTGCACAATCTAGTATTCTGCAGCTGACTGCATTGTATCATAAAGCATTTCTTCCAGAGATTCCTGTAGATTCTAACTTTCTTTTTCTTATTTCTATTTTCTGTTTCTAAGATTTAGAAATATTTCCTATTATCAGTATTTTCAGTTTACATATTTTGCTGACTAGCAGCTACATAATATTATTTTCTAAGCAGAGAGTCAATAAATACAGGTTTTCATAGATTTTTAATTAAGTATTTACACAAATGATTATTCTGAGGTTATCTTTTTTTCTTTTATGAAATCACAAATGTTAATATTTTATTTGAGTCAAAATGTTATGCCAAGCATATTCTAGCTGCCTTTTTTTGTTGTTGTTGTTCTACAGTTTCAGTATAGAACCAAATTATGACTTTCTTTATATCTATGATGGGCCAGACACTAATAGCCCACTGATTGGGAGCTTTCAAGATAGCAAGCTGCCTGAGAGGATAGAAAGTAGTTCAAACACCATGCATCTGGCTTTTCGGAGTGATGGATCTGTTAGTTTCACTGGTTTCCACCTGGAGTACAAAGGTAAAGGAAATATTTTTTCTCTTCCATTAAAAACGTTCAATACATGAGAATAAATCTCTTAGCTCTCTGTCTTGTGATGCTTCGGTTTTGCCTATGCGATATCTATTCATATAAAACAGAGCATTGTAAAAATAGCAATTTAAGATCGAGCTTCTGCTATATTATATCATATCATATATCATATCATATGATATATGACACATGATGATGTTAAAATCACAGTTTAAAAAAAAACACAACCAAAGTTATCATTTGTTTCTTACAAAAATAATGATTCATTGACAACACTTTCCAGAATGTTCTTTTTTCCCCCCAATGTTTAATTCATTTTATCTTTCCTTTATTTAGTAAGGTATTTTGGCATATTTGCGTCTCAGATTCCTGTAAAATGAAAAAAAAAAATCCAGATTCTTGACCAAAATGAAAAACTCCTGGACTAGACCTCTGTACGGCAGGCCATAGTAGATCCTTCAGATGATTAGCAGCATGGAGTACATGACATAATAGGAGAGGCTGAGGAAACTGGGTTTGATCAGGAAGAAGCTGGCTTCAGTTAGCTGGCTTCCTTCTACCACATTTGAATTCTTTCTTCATAGATTATAGCCTGATGCAGTGACTTTCCGAGTTTGCTTCTCAGGTACTTTAGATTTTCAGAAGTAATTTGAAGGTGCTAAGTATTTCAGATTTTATTTTTAAGAATAGTTATTAAGAACCTTGGATTTCCACAGTGACATTGTAAGTGTTTAGTCAGCAGTTTCAAAAATCTGTCACAACCATATATTTGGAGAAAAGAAAATTACACGACTGTCATTGTTCCCCACAGAAAGTTTGTGCTATGACAGATAATGTCTTTCCTCAGTTTTTGGTTTACACACCAGATATAATAGGTTGCCTTATCTATACAATCCTTAATCCGAGGATCTGCTAGAATTCTGAAAAGTCAATTTCTTGTTGTAAACTCAATAGTTATCTCACAATATGTAGCTTTTTTTGTAGTTCAGTTAGAAAGGACTTCATTCTTTTCAATTCTAGCTGTTATCAAAATGTTGAGATGCACCTGAATTAAATGCACTGTTTCATTCAAAGTTGAGAATTTGAACTTGAAAGGTCTGTCAAACTTCCCAAGTGAGAGTGTAGTTGGATTACATAGTAGTTATTATGATAATTATGTGATATGTTAAAGAGTTTCTAATAAAGTATACATCTTAACTTTTATCTGGACCACATAATTTCAGAATATGAGTGTTACCGAGGCTTTAGCCTTTCTTTCTGTGTTGTATTTTGAAGCACTGTCATTCAGAATAGGAGGTAGTTAAGTGTCCCAGGCACCAAATTGGAACTACCTAAATGAATCATCTTGAATCTCTAATATCTGTTCTTAATAAACTATGTTTTGTAACTATTAGTAGTCATTGTGTGGGTTTTCATATCAGAAGCAATGTTGTGCGGGTTGGAGATATAAATGTGATAAAATGTTAACCACATTAGGAGATCCTCACATTCCTTTGGAAAATTTGATGTTGACATTTCAGAAGAGTTAATCCTTGTCTCCTTATTCAAATGCAAATATAACTTTATGATTTTGCAATGTATCTTTTTCTTTCCTCTCATAAATATTACAGTATACAAATGGGCACAGGAGATCAAACAAACAGACTGTTTCCTTCAGTATCTTCTCTCTTGTAGTTACTTATAGCAGATATGTGACTAACGTATAACAAAATGATTGAACATTTAATGATTTTTCCCTAGTACCTGTAAGCTTTGAGAAAATCTAGCTTGGGAACCTACAGAATCCAAGGAAGAGTCCGTGTATTTAAAGCTCTTAAATAGCCTTCCAAGATTTTTGAAGCCCACGTAGTCTTCTGGCAATGCTACCAGCCTGCAGGAGAAAGCTCCACAGTGTGAATAAGCATGCTGTAGTAAAACACCTCTTTAGCTGATTTTCAAATTGGCCGTTGATAACTCCATTTGTTTCCTCCTAGTTCTTGCAGGGAGTAAATGATTCCCTATTGATCCTCTCCATGACACCCATAAACAACTAAGAAGAAAATCTGGAATTTCTATCCTCTACCTGATAAAATAAATTAGTCTCCATTCTGCATGGCACAAAAGTGTCACCTCATTCCAGCTTCTGCCATTTCCTGATACCTTTACTGTTACTTCATTAATAGAAAAAAAAAATGGTGTATTAGTGCTGTTATTTAAAAGTCCTGCATTATTATTTCCGTGAAGTTTCTTATTCCTTGGCTATTAGATGTACTGTTTTTCATGTTATGGAAGGAGAGGGAATGCAAGGATAAGGGTATATGGATGTTAGAAGGAATTTTCAAAAAAAATAGCCATAGCTGTTTGCAGCAAAGGAAGGAGATCTCAGGAATAGTTTCATGTTGTGTCCTCCAGTGAGAAAAGAAAAATTGTATGAAAATACATCAAACGATATATAGGGATACAGATATCTACCTGTGGTTTATTAATTCTGAATAAATTGTGAAATGTGGCTCATATGCATACTTTTTATTTCATCTAAAGTAGGTATTGTATTGGCTCCCCCCCACTTCAGTTTTAAGACCTCATCACATTAAGATGCATCTAGTCTGGTGGGATCATTCCATAAAATGTAAGTTAAGGTTTCCTAATTAACTATGTTTCTCGTCATAGTGAACCCAGGAAAAAGAGTTCTTATAATGGTGCTCTATAGGTATAATCAGGGAAAAAATATAAGAAATGTGGGGATCCTCACAGGATGCTCAAACAGACTTTGACAGAGCACCAGAAAATGTTTGTAAAGTTTCATATTTTTCTCAGAATTACACTTGATTATTTTATAGCAAAACTGCGTGAATCTTGCTTTGATCCTGGGAATATAATGAATGGAACAAGACTTGGAATGGATTATAAATTGGGGTCAACTGTCACATATTACTGCGATCCTGGTTATGTTCTTCAAGGATATTCCACACTAACGTGTATCATGGGAGATGATGGAAGACCTGGATGGAACAGAGCGCTGCCCAGTTGCCATGGTAAGAGAAGGATTTCATGTACTATTGTTGCTTTTGGTATTCTTTTTTTGTCACATGGAAGAAACAGACACAAAAATAGAATAAGTTTTTATAATTTTAATAAACTTCTTTAAGGCAAGTACTCTTTACAGCAGTATATTTAATGAAAATGTCATGTTTGACATTTACTCTTTTAGTATCACTGGTTAAATATTTTACAAGTTACTATTGAAGACATATGCCTACTTTTATTGAGTCAGCAATTTTTCAACAAAGCATACGAATATATGACTGGGATATTTATTTAAATAGAGCATTAACTATCTTCTTAATGTCTCCATATATTTTTGATTCTTTTTATGACTATTTTTTTAAAATGGCATAAGAACTTTAGTTAACTATTTCGTTTACACCAGAGAATATCAGTTAACCTTCTGTGCATGTGATCCCTGGGAAGATTTAGCCTTGAAATGCACCGAAGATCAATCCTTCAAAATTTCATGCATATGAGTAATGCTACTCACTTCAGGAATCTCCTGACTTTAATGATGATAGGAATAACTCGAGCATAAACAAGACAGTTAAAGAATTTATTTATTAAAGATGCCATGATTGTGTTTATTCATGCTGCTATCTATGTTTTCAAAGCTATCTGATTATCTTAACATTGAACATGTTCACTAGAAAGCACTTCACTTGGAAGGCAAAGACTGCAATTTTACTAAAAGAAAAAATCTTTCAGTGGGTAATGGAAAGTCATCCTTGATTCCAACTAGACTATTTTTTATCTGAATGAACAGGGCCTTGTTTTAAAGATGATGGGCCCTAGCCATCTGTAGTATGTTCTAAAAAAGTTATAATAATGTTATAAGTTTCAGAAAGATATAGTACAGTGCTATTGCTCGGCACTTCAGAAGAGAAAGTGCACAAGGAAGAGAGAAATATTACTACTGGGTATTCTGACTTTGCTTGTGCTTGAACGTTCCAAGTAGGGCAGAGAAAAGGTTGGGAGAACCTTCAGTGCTCCAGAAGTCTCTCTAGTGTCCAGGGACAAGGTTCATACCACACAGAATCAAACTTGTAAGGATAGACAATGTCATTCAAAAAAGCACAGACAAGCCTCTAAGAGAATTTGTGTCAATAATATTTGATCATTTGACATAAAGATCATTAGATAAAGCCCATAAATATTAGTAAATTGTATTAGTAAAAACTTAAATTATAAAAATAGTAAAAAATAATAAATAAAAATTCTAGTATCAGGGTGAAGATGAGTGGTGCAAAATTAGATCATGTTAAGTGTTTTTTTGCAATGAATGCTGATTTTTTTTCACTGAATCTCATCATGTCATCAAATCTCATGAGTTATTCTCATTCTGAATAACTTGAAATAACTAAATAACAGTCATGAGAGAGAGTAGATGAGTTTGGATCACCTTAGAACAGAAGGGAGTCATGGGGTTTGTTTCTAAGATCTAGCCTTTTATATAAACCATAGGTAGTATTTCCTTATCCATTCATAATTAAAATTATGACTATGACTATTTTATATTAGAAGAACAATCTTTTAGGAAAGCTTTTAAAATGCCTGTTCAATCAAGCCCTAAAGGAAGATTGCTGTTTGGATCTGGGCAGGCTTCAGCCTGCTGCCTGATAAATTGCTCAGTTTGTCAAGACACACTTTTGTGGAAATATGCAAAACTAGGAAATATGAGTATCTACAGACCCTAAAAGTCAACCACTGATGTTTTGGATTTAGAGAAAAGCTGAGTAGGAGCTATCAGGATCAGAAGAAATACTAGAAGAAAACATTCAGTGCATTAAGTAGTTGTTTCCACTTCTGTACCTTTGCACACACAACATTTTTAAAGCCTAATCCTATGTGCATTTGGCATGACTTGCATTTGGTTAAAATCATTATTTAAAGTGACCTTGAGCCTCTCCAATAAGTGTGGATCATCAACCAAATCATTGGCTTCATTCTCTTATGAACACATGCAAAGATTATCCAGGCTAATATGCTAAGCTATTTGGCATTTGACGGTAGATGTTAAAAACAGGATGTAATTAACATATGTAGATAAAATGTTGGTGTGGCAAAGATAGAGTTTAATGCTTTCTCTTAGCTTCACCAACTGTAGATAATTTTAAATTTTTGGTAGCAAGCAACAGTTGTTTGCAGAATATCAGAAAGACCCATAGTGGGAAATCATAGTCAGGGCTGAGTGTAAAATCTTGTTCCTAACAGAGAAGAAAGCTTCTGACACCAACAAATACTGTTGCATTTCATTTCAGTAGGTTAGAAATACATTAAATAAATAAATAAAATCTGTGCTTCCAAATATGTTCATGTGAAAGATATAACAAACAATTTCAGATAATGTCATAAACTGGTTGTGACATGGCTTATTCTCTGTGCTCTTTGTAACAAAATGGTCTCAAAACATTCATACACACTGTCTGTCACAAGATATATAAAAAGTTTTAGCATTATAGATATTTCTTATAAAGCAATTCTGTGCTATTATTAAAAGAATACATATGATATATTAAAAACAACAGAAACATTCTCAGTTATGATTGCTACAATAAATTATATTTCCTAGTCCTGTGGACAGCAGTACATAATTATATACCACAGTTGTGGTAGTTTAGTGATTAAAGACCCTGCTGAAGGCTAGATGCATAAGCAGGATGAGGAGGGAGAGCAGAACTTAAGTAACTGCATGTTCATATCTCAGCCTTAGGACCTGGAGGATGATTCACATTATTAGGATCTGGGAAGGGGCATCCTGCTGCCTCATTGTCTCCGAAGTAAATGTCTTCCTGCAAACTGAAATGTCAGAAGGAATGCCTGTTTTTTGTTTGGACTCTCATACTGACTCTTGCTTTCCCTTGTGCTGAGTCCTACTTTTCCTTGTGTCCATTTTTTTTTTCTTTCCTATCTATATGAACTTGTAAAAGCTATTTCGGAGGGGTCAGGTCGGGTTTATATCTGAAATCTTTGAGGGTGGAAGACTGCACAAAAAAAAATTAATCATATTTGTTATCTTGTAATATATTAACTGTTGACAGCTTTCTCATCAGTCATGCACTATTGATTATTTAATTAGAGTCTTTATGTGTGACATTTTTATGCATTTTTTTGTGTAGTAATACTATGATTTCTTATGCACTAATTGCATACCAGTGTGGTCTCTTAAAATTCTAGTCAGTCCATTATTTACATGGTAAATCATAGTCGAACTGAATATTTTTTCCAAGATGCATGAAAAATATTGAAATTATCACTTTAACCCTTGTTGGCTGTGTTATAAAAATAGGGAAATTTCTTGATATAGGCACAGACACAAATCTACGTATAAGAAGATACAAAACAAAGGCATGTTAGGCTAAAATACTTTCTTGGGTGATTTCTGATTAAAATTGGTAAAGACAGGATTTCTAGGTAATCTTTAGGTAACATAATTTATAATTCTTCATAATATTCAAGTACATTAAGCAACATTCATGTAATAATTGACATACGCTGATCAATTTTATATAGGTAAAAATTAAGGCACTTGCATATCTATTATTTTTGGTGCAATGATTTTAATCAAAGCAGTTGGAACTTTCATTACCATATTTGTCCTATTCTGCACTTTTGGAGTGGAAATGTAGAATCCTTGATTGTATTCCCACATCCTCAGCTATCATATCTAAGCAATTAAAAATAAAATTTTGAAAGGTACAGAAGAATTTTTAGAAGCGTAACACTCATTAACTTCCATCTGTGGTATTCAACATATTCATCTTTATTAAAAAGGCAACCAATGCCGAATTACCTAGTTTTAATAGAAATAACATATATAAGTGAGATCAGGGTCACACTTTATTGTAAAACTAGCAGAGATGGAGAATAGTAGCTGTATTTGGGTTGACTACAGTTACTGCACATTAAAATGTTTTGTTAAAACACAAATTAGTCCTTCTTTTATTTTTTAGATTTATTTTCTTCAGCTGATTTTTGCTCTTGTAGATTTGTTTCTCTTGCAAGAAAAATACCTCAGCCTGAAATTTTGAGAATGACATGAGTTCAAATAGCTGGACTTTGTGCAATAGAGTGCAACACAAATTACTGAGAGAATTACTCTTTACAAAAATGCAAAGGCCAGCCTGAGTCACCACCCAATTATGTTGATATAAGCACTAAAAACATAGTAGAGAACCCTTATAAGAGGTGGCACAAGTGATGTTTAAAGTAAAGGAGGTCATTTCCCTCTGCTTCAAGCCTGATGCTTCTAGTTAAAAGAAATTTATTCCTATTCATTTTACATTTGAGTTATTCTTAGCTAAATGATATTACAGAATAAGATTCATTAATTGCCATGGACATGTGAACAAGTTCTTCTACCCATTCTTGGATTTGGCTGTTATTATTATTATTATTTGTCTTATTACTGTAATATCTACTTCAGAAGCCTTTCTTAAATGAGCTTTCAGACATGCTATAGCAGTAATTTTTGTATACTGTATACTTTAATCATGTACTATCATGCTTACACTACATCATTGAATAGGAAAATAAAAATTTCAGGGAGGTGAACTTACGCTTACACCATAAAAACAAGAAAGGGACAAGATAGATGTATTTATCTGAAAGCTATTAGGTAGTTCACTTAAATCTTCGTAAATAAAAGCTATAAAGCCACTAGTTTAAAAAAAAAAAAAAAAAAAAAAAAAAACTATAGCCCCCTGCATTGACTGTATTTATGACAGTGTGCAATGTTACAGATTACTTATTAGTTATTTCCTATAACTTTGTGTTCACAACTTAAAGGTGTGGATGAACTGTGAGAAGAGACCCTTTAAGTTAATAAAAACTCTTTTTGAATTAAACAATAGTATAACATGTATGTGTATTATGTGTATGTGTATAATTAATGTGGTGCTTATATGTATAAAAGTCATTGGTCATTATAAATAATAACTGATGTGGCAATTATGTTACAATAAATGGAAAGTAGGACTTGGAAATC